AAATAAATAAATAAATAAAACAAAACAAAACTGGCTTTCCTCCTGGGCTGCCCTAGGACCACTGAACCCCCTGGAGACTGGGCCAAGCCAGCTTCTTCTGGCCACCCACTGTTCAAACTTGTTTTTGGCCTGGGCTTAGCAGACCAGGCCTTCCTCTATTTCTGTGCCAAAGGAACTGCTTGAGTCTTTGATGGGTTATACTCAGCCAGCCCTCCCTGAGGGGGCTCTAGTGTTGGTCCACAGCTTTTCTGGGGTTTTTTGGTGGTGGTGGTGGTGTTTTTTTTCCCCAGTACTGGGAATCAAACTCACAACCTTGCACTTGCCAAGCAGGCACTGTGCCACTGAGCTAAATCCCCAGCCCCAGCTTTCCTGTTCTTGATTCATGTGTTCCCACCTCTCCCAGCACCTCTTTTCTAGCTCAGGTATCCCTAGCTTCCCACACATCTGCCACCCACACCAGCAGCCTGGGGCTGATTTTCCTCCAGACACAGCTGGTCCTCTGAATACCCTCTGTCTTCTACAACTCTGGGCTGATCCTGCATTGTCCCATCAACCAGGAAGCTCACTGTATTTGTCCCAAGTATAAAACTAGAACATAAACTCATGTTCATAAAGGCATTATTTACAACAGTCAAGAGTTGGTGCTGGGTGTGTTGGCGCATGCCTGTAATCCCAGCACTCAGGAGGCTGAGGCAGGAGGATCCTTGCAATTTCGAAACCAGCCTGGGCTACAAAGTGAGCTCCAGTCCAGCCTGAGCTGCATAGCAGGACCCTGTCTCAAAAAGACCAAAAAAAAAAAGAGTTAAGAGTCAAGCATGGTGGTACATACCTGTAATCCCAGCACTTGGGAGGCTGAGGCAGGAGGATCCTTGCGAGTTCAAGACCAGCCTGGGCTACAAAGCGAGCAACTGAGCTCAGGGCCAGCCTGAACTGCATATCAAGACCCTGTCTCAAAAAAACCCAAAACAAACAAACAAAAAAAGCAGCAGATTATTAGCTAGGTGTGGTGGCACACACCTGTAATCCCAGCACTCTGTAAGGCTGAGACAAGAGTTGCAAATTTAGCAGGGTGTGGTGGCGCAGGCCTGTAATCCCAGCATTTGGGAGGCTGAGGCAGGAGGATCGCTGTGAGTTTGAGGCCAGCCTGGGCTACAAAGTGAGCTCAAGGCCAGCCTGAACAGCATAGCGAGACCCTGTCTCAAAAAAAAAAAAAAAGACAAAAAAAAAAAAGAATTGCAAATTTAAACCTAGCCTAGGCAACTCAGTGAGACCCTGTGTCAAAAAGGGTTGGTGAGGGGCTGGGGATTTAGCTCAGCGGCACAGCACCTGCCTGGCAAGTGCGAGGTCATGAGTTTGATTCCTGGTACTGGAAGAAAAATTTAAAAGAAAAAATGAAAAAAAGGGTTGGTGATACAGCTCAGTGTGAAGGCCTTGGGTAAACAAATGAAGGAATGTAACACATTGAAAACAAGTGCTAGTATTAAATTCTACCACGTGTCCTCTGCAGAAGAACACCATGGCCACCACAATGTGAAACAATGTGCCTCTGGGTGGTACTGTTTGCTATTGTTTCTGGAGCACTGAGCATGAAGAATAAGGTATTACAGGCTCCGACAAGTGTCCACACAGCTGTGGCCTCTGGCCTGTGAGTGCACAGGTGTGACACCCTGGTGGGGGTGGTGGCAAGTAGCCACATTGGTCACCAGACTCTAGGCATACTGGGACCAAGTGGAAGTTTGTTCTCCAAGTCAGTGCCGTGGAAATTCACACAGGTAATGATACCCACTGGCCCTGAATGAGACGGACTGTGTGTGGAATGAGCAACAGGGCCATGCCACCACACTGGTTTGGGGGCCAGTAGCTGGAGGGGCTGTATCAGCGCCTGGCCCAGGAGCCAGGTCCCTGCCAAGTCAGGAGGTTGAACAGACCACAGCAGGCAGGAAGATAGCATCTTTATTGGGGGTGAGTCCTGACAGCACAGGGGCAGGCGTCTGTGGACATCAAGGTTCACGGAGATGTCCTGGGCAGGTGTACACATTGCAAAAAGACACCATGAACCATCCCTGTTAGGCTGCTACCTCCACATCTCCTGTGAGCCACATGGAGGCTCAGGAGTGCAGGAAGCGGTTGAAGGCGTTGTAGGCTGACTCCAGGTCGAAGAGCATCTGGCGTACCTGGGCGTCATCCAGCTCATCAGAGGCTGACATGCCACTGAGGGTCTGCAGCCTAGGGGCATAGCAGTGCCTGAGTGAGGGTTGCAGGCTAGGTCGCAGCAGGAGTAGCAGCAGCAGCAGCAGCAGCAGCAGCAGCAGCAGCAGCAGCAGCAGCAGGTCTGCAGCCCTGAGAGGCACTCACCATTGGTTGACTGTCTGGCGGCCCTCAAAGTCTGGGGGCAGATGGCTCATGCGATGCATAGTCTCCATCAGCTCCCTCAGGTCAGGCTGGATCTACAGAAACAGGGATAGAGCTGAGACCCCCACCTTTCCCCTCCCCCTGACCCCCACTCTTACCCTGGTCCTGTACCTCATCCATGGCGCGAATCTCCAGGCGTAGCTTGTCCATGACTGTGATGAAGAGCTGCAGGGGTGGGTGTGAGGCATCTTGGACCCGCTCAGGTTGCAGAGAACCCCTCACAGCTCACAGGCCCAGGGTTAAGCCCCTACCCCTTCCTCTTCAACCTCTTCCCCACACCCTGCTCCCCAAGCCCAGGGCTCCTCCCTGCTGGGGTAGGGGTGAGTCTCCTGAGACTGTAGGAGTTTGGGATCCTGATTGTGAGGGGTGATGTATGGAACTGGGTGAGGGGCACCAGAGTAGGCCCTGTGCATGTCCCCCTCACAGGCCCTGTAGGCAGCCAAATGGGCCTGGGAAGGGGGCTCTGAGCGCTGCCTACCCTCATCCACAGTGAAGTCCCTCCCCACCCTGCAACTACAGCAGGAAGGCCTCTCTCCTAACTGCCACAGGTCCCTCCAAGGAGGCCGGGCGTACCGAGACCACATCTGCGATGCAGCGGTTGAGGTTGCCCTTGTCATCCTTGATGGTGATGGGTCGGTCCTCTTTAATCCTCTCCATGGCCAGCGGGCAGTCCAGCTGCAGGGAGCCAACATGGGTGCTGGGGCTCTGGGGCCTTGCTGCAATGGCCCCACACCTGAGCCCAACCACACCCTTCCAGCCGAGTGAAGGGACTGGCTCACTCACGCGGAACTTGCGGCAGAATTCGTCGATGGAGCTGATTTCTGAGCCTTGAACCTGCCTGAAGGCAGCTTTATACTGGACCAGGAGACGGGAGCAGGCTGCAGTATACCTAGGAGAGATTGACAGCTGCCCTAAGCTGGGACAAGCCCTGCCAGCCCATCCTGCTCTCCCTCAGCTTTGGCTGTTCAGACACAGGACAGCTCTAATGAAAGACTGGTTGACAGGTCACAGGAAGCTATTGTGGGTCAAGGGCTCTCATTAGATTTGTACAAGAGCTCTGATCAAGAACAGGGAGAAAGTCAGCCGGGCATGGTGGCGCACGCCTGTAATCCTAGCACTCGGGAGGCTGAGGCAGGAGGATCGTTGCAAGTTCAAGACCAGCCTGGGCTACAAAGTGAGCTCACAGCTGGCTTGAACTGCACCGTGGTTGAAGACCAAAAAAAAAAAAAAAAGAACAGGGAGAAAGGACCAAAATATGACCACCACATAGACGGTGCTCACTGACCTGGACATCAACAGTGAGCTGAGGCCCAGTGCCTGCCTGGCCTCTGGACCACAGTGTTGGCATCCACTAGAAGTTTGTCACCTCAGTGAAGCCTCTGTATCCATGCTGGGCACCAGGCCTGGGCAGTACCATCCCTCAGGTTGGGCAGTGAGGTTCCCACTCACCTTCAGAGGTCTTTCCATCAGCAAGGTGAACCAATCTATGCCTGGGGACAGGACCCAGCCACACCCATTTGAGTGCCTGCCCTTTAGCAACAGATACTTCTCTATCCCTGCAAGGCTTTTCAGGCTAAGGCAGTGCTAAGGCCACTCCCTAGAACCTCAGAGCACCCCCAGGATGGGCACCCCTATCTTAGGCAACCTATGTAGGGCAAAAGCAGGCTTTGGAGGATGGGTGGCTCCATTCTGGCCATGGGCTGTGAATCACTCACTCATTGGGGGTGACGCAGTCCTTTATGTATGCTTTCTCCAGTGCCTGCATCGTCTTCACCACTGCAAACAGCTCTGCCATGTTGTCATACCTGAGACAACCTGTCCATCAGGCCACAGCCATGAGACAGGGAAAGCCAGGTTTCTGGAGCCCAGGAGGCTAAAGGGCATGGGGACCAGGGGTACAGATATGGCAGAACTGTCAGCCTGCCTCTCACCCCGTCCCTGGCAGGTGGTCCTTAGATACTCTCTTTCCACTCAACCATCAATGTGGCAGTGGGTTTGGGGGAAGCTACTCTGGGGTGGGAGGGTGGGCATGAGGCGGGCTGCCTGGATGCTGACTTACTTCTCCCGCTCTCGGGCATTCTTGTACAACTTCACTTCCTGTTGGGCAGAACAGCAGCATATCAGCCAGCGTGACTGGGTGGCTGTAGGGCTTGGTGAGATCATGTGGGCGCCCACCATGGGCCAACACTGACCATGGGTACCTGCCACTCACCTCATACAGTTCCGGCTTGTTCCCGGGAGCTGCAACAGAGCAGGAAGACAGCTAGCAGCCTGGCTACAAAGTCCCAATCCAATTTCAGTTCCTTCCTTGAGGCCTCCCCACTGCTGTGTCCTGAGGCGCTCAGAGGGAGCTGGAGGATGGGGATTCCAACCTCATCCCCCATCTGTGAGCAGCAGTCTGCCTCTGAAGGGCTGAGCGCCACATGCCAGGCCGAGCTGCCCACCTGCACCTTGCAAACACTGCCATAATATACATGGTGCAAAGAAAGCTTGTCACACACAACTAAGCTCAGTGACACAGGGGTGCCCAAGATACCCGGGTTTCTGGCCACACTGAAGCCATCACCTCTGTGGCCTGTAGTGCGAAGCCCTCAGTGCTCTATCATACACCACCCGGCACCCCAGCCCCAAGCCATTTGAGTGTGGAGTAGGGGTAGGGACATACAGCTCCCCAATACCACCCACTTCAGCTCCTTCGGCAGATAAGTTTGGTCCTTCGGCCACCCTACTCACCTCCCATGCCTGGGGTGGCTGGAATCCCGTGAAACATCCTGACGGCTCTGGTGCCACAGCACGGAGACCTGGGGGGCACAGCCAATAGTATCTCAAGGAGGCCAGGACACCACAAGAACGGGGGTCCCTGGGGACCAAAGCCTCATGCCCCCCCCTTCACACAAGCAACAGCTAGGACACTATGGGGCCACCAGGAGGAAGTGAGGCATGGACAACGAATGGTGAGCAGAGCGATGGTGCGGGGCAGGTCTGCCTTGCCGTGTGGCTAAGGCAGAGAAAAGAGCAGGTGGTAGCTGATGGTGGACCTGGGGGTAAGAAAGCATGCAAAATAGGGTTTGGGGCTGAGTGCGAAAGTGCAGAGTCCCGCGGGAGGGTCCTGCCTAGTGAGGAAGGGGGCGGTGGCTGGTGCAGTCCCAGCATGCTCTGGACGTGGAACCACAGAGCCACGCAAAGATGTGAAATAGGGCGGAAATTTAAAAAGGAGGTAGGAATGACACCCTTGTTTTCGGCCTGGTGGCACCACGACCATAGGCGAACTGAGACTCGGGGCTGTCGGCAGATGGTGGGGTCCAGGTGGCGGAAAGGCCGGTGGGCGCGGCAGGGGGCCGAGTTGGAGGGCTGGCCCACTACCGTGGCGGATGCTCCTTGCCAGAGACCGGGAGAGAGTGAACACAAGCCCTCGACAGCGCCAAGCAAGGCGCGGGCAAGACGCTGACGCGCTGGTGCCGGCCGCCCTCCCGGCCCCCGCCGCGTTACCTGGGGCTCTCTCCGCCGCTCCCAGAGACAGCCACAGGGTGGGGCGCGCCCGACCTGGGACCCAGCGATCCCCAGCGCCGCTTCCGCGCGTCGGAAACAACTCGGATCCACAACTCGGCGCTCGATCCGTCCGCCTGCGTCTTTGCGACACTTCCGACTCCTGGCCACGCCCCCCGGAGGGGGGCCACAAACCGGAGCTTAGGGGCGCTAAGTGGTTGTGGGGAGTGGTTGTGAACCTCTGGTACGCATGCTGCAGCGGACTATTTGTTGTGGTTTTTTTCTTTTTTTTTTCCTTTTTAGAGACAAGGTCTCGCTGTGCAGTTCAGGCTGACCTTGAGCTGGTGGTCTCGAACTCAGAACAGTCCTCCTGCCTCAGCCCCCCCACCCCACCCCGCTGGGATTACAGGCCTGCGCTATCACGCCCGGCTGTTTATTTATTTATTTATTTATTTTTGGGGGGGGGGTCCAGTACCGGGAATCGAACTCACGACCTTGCGCTTGCCAGGCAGGCGCTGTGCTGCTGAGCTAAATGCCCAGCCACCCCGACCGTTTATTTTTGAGACTGTGTAGCTGTGTAGTCTAGGCTGATCTTGAACTCACTTTGTAGCCCAGGCTGGCCTCGAACTCGCAGTGCCTTCTCCCGCCTCAGCCTCCCAAGTGCTGGGTTTATAGGCTCGCGACACCACACCCGGCTTGTTATCACTGAAAGCTCTAAAAGTAGACCTGGGTAGAAGCAGAACCCAGTCTCACAGATCTCACCCATCCGCTCACCCACCCCTCAGGCAGCAATAGCAAGGGAGGTAGCAGTAGCTCTGTTTATTGAGGCTTCTGAGATGGGAAGGGTAGGGCGGGGGTCAAAGGCGCTGGAAGAAGAGCTTGGGGCCTCGGTCCAGTAAGCATGGCCCCTGGGCCGGCAGTAGTTGTTGAAGGGCATCACGGTCCTCAGGGCACAGGCGTCTGCTGCACAGCCGAAGCTCCTGCAGTTGTGTGATGATTTTGTCCCAGAGGCCAGGGGCCAGGGGTCCCTGGATTGCACAGCCTGCACGGGGCAGAGAATAGCTTTAACCTGTAGGAAGGAGCTCCCCGCAGGCTGGGGTCAGGCGCACAGTGCTGTGCTCATAAAATGGACTTCACAGCGATGCTTGCTCATCTACATCGTGGGCCAGAGAGGTTCAGGAGGTCAATGAACTGCCAGGGCTTGATCCTCAGGCAAAAGTCCCTCTAGGCTCAGGACCTCAGGGAGCTGGGGGAGGAAAGTGAAGTGCCAGGAATCCAGGTGTGTGAAGTACAGGGGATGAGGGAAAGAAAGAACTGAGGCCTCCCCTGTGCACAGCCTTTGTCCCTTGAGGCTCTCCGTCCAGACCCAAGCTGGGCCTGCCAGCGGTTGGTTCCTAGTCCACCAGATGCACCTCTCCTAGAGCTGTCCTCCAGACAGCTGAGGTGGGGCTGCTCTGGTATGGCTGGGGAAGAAACTACATCAGGCCACAGCTTGGACAGATAGGATCTGAGCAGTCTGCCAGGAGATAGGGTCCTTTGGTGGTAGTTTTCACCACCTGGGCGCTGGGCTTCCTCTTCCTCTGGGCTTCCTGCTACTAAGTATGAGGAAATCCTATGGAATAGGGTCCTTCCTACTATGGTATATACACCTTCAGGGTCAGGCTGGATGAGCCTGAGGCAGAGATCCCCAGGCTCCCCTGCCTCTGGCTTATACCCCTTCCCTTCCTTCTCTTCGTACTTTTATCCCTCCTGCTTTCCCTTCCTTCCTTTGACGGGGGTCAAACCTAGAGCCTCAGGGATGCTAGATAAGTGCTCTACCGTTGAGCTTCATCCCCAGCCCTCAGGTCCCTTTCTTGTCTTGCTGCATGTGGCCTCTCACCATTTAGCCTCATGGAGCCTCACCACCTAGCTAGTGGCAGTGACAGCTCCTTAGGAGCAGCAACCTGGCCTCAGGCAACCAAGTTGTGTGGCAGGCTGGGACACAGCAGGGGTGGCCAAACCCAGCCCTCACCTGACATGCCAAGGAAGCTGAGGCCTTGGGACCTCTCCTGGAGGGCAGAAAGGAGCTCTTCCAGGCTGGTACAGCTGATCTTGGGGTTGGCAGACAGGTCCAGAGAGATGAGTGAAGGGCAGAGAGGGAGACACCTGAGAAAACATGGGGAGTAAGGACTTAGCTCCCAGGGCAGCCCTCATGCCATCACCAGAGATGATTACCCAGCAGGCTTTGCCTGGCCTAGCATGAGTGGAAGCTCCTCAAAGGCTAGCAGCACTGGCCAAGGCTCAGGACTGTAATAGCCACCTTTGGATGTGCCTGGCCAGGCTTGGGCACCACCTGACACTCCTCTGCAAACCAGCCAAGGTTTTAGGGCCATAAGGGTAGTGGCCCTTGTGTGGGTTGATGCACAAAGGGTGACAAGAAAGGACACACAAGAGGAAGGCTCTGAAGAGCCCCAGGAGCGTAGATGAAAATTCAAGGAAGGTAGCATGCCTACCAGGGGCAGCCCGGGTCAGGGTGGAAGCAGAACGGACCCAGCACTACCTGACCCAGCTTGTGGGAGGTCCCAGGCCTTCAGATCAGGCCCATTTAGGATGATGGCAGTGGGGTGGGGGTGTTACCTGCTCAGTTCTCTCACAGCCTTGTCACTCAGGTAGTTTGAAGATAGGGTCAGATGGGCCAGAGCACAGCCTTCCTGGAAACAAGCACAGTCCAAACCCTTCAGTTTGGAGCCAGAAAGCATCACTCCTTCCAGGTATAAGTTATACTTGGGATGCTGTCATGTGGAAATCATAGGGACGTACCCTGTCTGGAACCCCCAGAAGAGGGCACAGGGTGTGTGTGTGTGTGGGGGGGGAGGTCCTTTGGAACCTCCTGAAGAGGACATAGGGCGTGTGTGTGTGTGTGTGTGTGTGTGGGTCCTTTGGAACCCCCAGAAGAAGGCACAGTGCGTGTGTGTGTGTGTGTGTGTGTGAGGGTCCTTTGGGACCTGCCTGGTGTGGGGAGGACATTCTAGTCCTAAGTGTCTTTCTAGTGACCAGGAAGTCACAGCCCACAGCAGGCTTATGTACAGACGTGCCAAGCTATTCTTCCTAAGACTTACCCTCTCCCTATATCCCTTCCCAGGCCCCCAGGGCTTCAGCTCTGGAACCATTGGCCTCTGGTCTCTAATATCCCCCTATTTTGGCTGGGCAGCACATTCCCCAACTTATACCTTGGTTAGGTATCTGACTACAGGTTCCATGAGGCCCAAGTCACTCTTGCCAGCTGCCACAGAGTTGAGCTCTAGATGCAGAAGGGTACAGGTGGGCAGGCTCTGCAGGGTCCTGGCCAGGGCGGGGGTGCCAAGTGGGTTGTACGACAGGGACAGGGTCTTTAGGCGCTCAGCATCTGCAAGTGCCAGAACCTGTCAGCCTCATGTGGCCACCACCTATCCTGAACCCCACAACCAAAGTTCCAGGCCCAAAATCTTTGCAAACCCTTTGGAGAAACTTATCCCTGAATTTTGTGTGGGGAAACTGAGCTGAGAAAAAAGCTTTATCTGTTTCTCCTGCTGGAGATGGGGCCTTGGGCCAGAACATCTGTCTGGAGGCCAGGGGAGCATTGCCACCACAGCTGCCCAGTCCCAGGTACCTCCCCTGGGTGGCCCCAGTTCCCATCTCTTGGCCCTGGGGCTGCTGTCTTAGCATTCTGGTGAGCTCATGGTGGAAATGCTTGGACCTGCAGAAGGTTCAAGCCATACGCACAGGAAATCTTCAGGGGCAGAGACAGCCTTCCTGGCACCCTACTAGGTGTGGTGTAGCAGGGGCTAGGGTGAGTTTTGGGGGGACAGCCCAGGCTGGGCACACACCACATGCTCCTTAGAGCCTAGACAGTTCTACCTGTGTGTTTGCAGAAGCTGAAGAAGCCACACTTGACACGCCTGATATCCCAGGGCCTTCTGCTCAAAGCCCACGAGTCCCCTCACCTAGACTCAAGGAATAGACCTGCCTGGTCAGCTCACCTTGGAAGGCACTACCCAGGGCTGCCTGGTGGCTCAGGAAGAAGTTGGACCCAAAGCCACAGGCCTGGAGACGCAGGGTACTGAGCAAGGGGCAGGCCCGCAGGATGGAGGCCAGGGCCTGGCCAGAGCCATCTCCCAGAGGGTTCATGCTTAAGTCCAGCTCCTCCAAGTTCTGTGGAAGACATGGGTGGGCCCTGAGCTCCCAGTCCCCTCAGAGGGTCTGGTCTCTTGTACAGGCCTGCACCAGTGTGGAGCAGGAGCCAGCTCTCCAAGGCAACCCAGTGACTGGCGAAATGAGAACCCTGTTGCTTCCAGGCTGCTGAGAATGTCCTGGGCCTGTACCTGCAAAGTGCCCTGTCCTGTAGGGCCTCCAGCAAGCTGGCGCAGACCTTCCGGGCTCAGGTGGTTGGAAGAGAGGTCAAGGAGGACGAGGCTAGGCATAGTGGCCAGGGCAGCCAGCAGCTCAGTGGCGCATCCATCCCCCAGGCGGTTCCCTGCCAGGCGCAGCTCACGGAGCCCAGTGTGCATCTTGAGAGCCCGCAGCAGAGGCGTGAGCTGGGCCTGGCGCAGGGCTAGGGAGCATGTGCTGAAGGAGGGGCCTGAGCCCTGGCGCTCCATGGCCCGCAGCACCTGCACATGCTCCCCTAAGGAGGGAGATATGGGTCACTTGGGGCAGAGACAACACTCTTGTCTCTGAACCCTGTAGGGAAAGCAGGCAGCCTGGGAGCTAGGCTGAGCCCACTCCCACAGGCATAGGAGTCAGTGCCATTGGAGCCCCCTGTGCGGGCTCTGCTGCGGGCTCTCAAGATGCACACTGGGCTCCATGAAGCTGGTCTCCTCATCCCAAGACAAGTTTCCTGCTGAGGAAGCTCGAGCCCACACCAGCCTCTTTCCTGGGCTTCACTTCTGCAGTGTGGGTTACTTTACAATATCCCACCCATTCTTCCATGAGCTCTGGCCTGTCTGCCCCACCTGTTGCCCTCATGTATGGCAGGTGCCAGGCTGGAGGGGTGCCCAGTGGACCTGGGAGTAGCATGGGTGGGTAAGGCCTGCATGCCCAGACCTTCAGCCCAAGCTTCCACTTCCAACCAAATCTAGGGTCCTCCAGGGCCCTTACCTTGCCCCAGGCTCTGGCAGGCCCTGTGGTAGCGGTCCGTCAACGGGGGGAGGTCCCATGAAATTACTTCAGCCAACACCTAGGAAGCACAATGGGTGATTATCCTAGCAAGGGGAACAGCCCATGCTCGTGGCCCGACTGCCCACCTCGTCATTGCTCTGCAGGACATCAGGGATGGGGTCCTGAGGGGCTAGCAGGGCCCCCTCCTTCTGTAGAGTGAGCTTCGGCAGCAGCCCAAAGGTCTGGTAGTAGCGTTGGGCAGCCTGTTCCGCCAGCCAGGCCACAGAGTGGGCCTCACTGCTGTGGGACAGGTTACACACTGAGTCCAAGAAATGCCCTGGGGCATTGCCATCCCTTCGTGCCTACACCATCCTCATCTGGCTTTTTCTGTCTTTCTTGGACCCTGGACATTCCAGGGACTTGTGCATGAGCCTGTGCAGGACAAGCTCACTCGGCACTCTGGGGCACAGTAGGGGTGGGGGTTGTAGTCAAGGGAAGTCTTATCATGTGTCCCATCCTGACATGCACACACACAAGGGCCCTGTGTCTTCCTGGAATAGAGCTGCAGGATAGGCATGGTGCTGCAGGATAGGCCTGGGGGCTGGGGCTGGGACAAGGCAAGTGACGCCTTACCTGTGTGGCACAGGGATGAGGAAAAGGTGATCCTGAACTCGAACTCGAACTCGGAGAGGAGCGGGTGGAACCAGATTCTGGCAGGTGGGGGCAGAGAAAGGAGCAGTCAGAAAAGACAGAGGCCTCCACCCCACTTGCCCACACTGGGATGCCAGCTCCACTCCCACCTGGTGCACCCACCATGGACTGGCTTGCTTCAGGATTCTCTCCACTGGGCCCCGAGGCCGTGGGCATGACGGGATTCCCAGAGGGCTCTGCAGCCACACTTCCGACTTTGTTCAGAGGACTCAAACGCTTGAAACAGGTAAGGCGGCTCTGTTTGGTCCGGACCCCAGGTCTGATGGGGCGCTCCTCGTCTGACCCTGAGGCACTGCTGCCACTGTCCCCACTGCCCTGAGGGCAGGCCAGGCGAGATGGGCGGCTGTATATCAGGGGTTCATCCAACTCTAACCAGTCTCCAGCCAGGCATTCCTCCTCAGGAATGAGTGCTGCCTGGGGCATTGGGCCTTCACTTGTGTCCCTAAATGGGCCAGGTCCCTGGCAGCGGCTCTGAGCACTGCCTACACCTCTGATGGCCGCCTGGTAGGCTGCTCGACTGGTGCTTGCTGTGGCTGCCTCCCTACTGCTGGCAGGACCAGATGTCCAGGCCTCATCCTGCTGTGCCAAGGCAGAGCGCCTCAGCCTCTTCTGGGATGGCCCATGGGGGCTCACACTGTCCTTATCCTCTGAGCTGCTGCTGCTAGCCAGCCTGTGCCTGCTCCTTCGAGGCCTGGCCACAGCTGATGCAGTCTGGGCTGGTGAGATCCTAGCATGGGCTGGAAAGGCTAGGGGTTCAGAGCAGGGGCTCAAGGGAGGAGATATCTCAGGGTCAAATAGATGGTTACTCAGGACAGTCCGGGGAGCCGGAGTGTTGTGAGAGGCTGTAGGAGAGAGAATCTGTCATGAAATAGTGTTCAGCACCTCCCACCCTGCTACTTACACTACAGTGATCCCTTGGAGCCAGACCTCAGGGCCCAGTGGTGCTGTCCCAAGGGACAAAGGAGATGCTACTTGCCTGAGCCCAAGGAGGCTGCTTGGAGCCTCCTCTCCATGGCTGCTGCCTTCTGTCGTGTCTCAAGGTCCAGGTCCTTGCAGTACAGCTTCACCCACTGCTGCAGTGTCTCCAGTGGGCTGTGGCCCTGTGTAGCACCTAGCTGAGCAAAGCACAGGTAGCCCCACCTGCCAGCCCTGCCTCCACCCACACCAGGCTCACCTTCCTGGTTTGGAGGGTGACAGACGCCCCTCGCTCAATGAGCAGCTCAGCCACCTCAAAGTGGCCACAGGTGAGAGCGTCATGCAGAGGGGTGATACCCTCACACCCTTGGCCGCCAGGATCATCCACTGAGGCCCCATGGTCCAGGAGGAAGCGGACAATCTCTGTGGGCCAGACGACATGAGCCCAGCTCCCAGCACCAAGCTCAGGCCCCTCCTCACCCCCCACACCCTCCCCATGTGCCAGGTCCTACCCGTCCTCTGCTTACCCAGGTGCCCATAGTTGCAGGCTTCATGCAGAGGCGTCCAGCCACAGTAGTCCCGAGGGTTAAGAGGGTGGCCCTGTGACCAGTGACAGAAAAGACCCAGCCTTTCATGCCCGGCAGGCTGGCCTGGTCCCAGGGGCTTTGTGGCTTGAGTAAGGCTGGGCCCCACAGTCTATTGCTTTGTTGGTCCAGCCCTCTTGTCCTCTGGTCCTGGGTCTCAGCAGTAAGAGCAGAGCTTACCCTATCCCCCTGCCTGGGTGAGCAGCCATCATGCCTCCTCCAGCATCTGAGCTCCCCAGTCCCTGGTGGACTTGGGCCCATAGGTCCTACTCTAAAGATGATGGAGATCTTGGCCAAGCCCACAAATCCTCTCGAATGGAACTAGGGCCAGCCCACCTGCTTTACAAGGTGCATTTGGGGTGGCAGCTCACCTGCTTTACAAGGTCCTGGACACGACGCAGACGGCCTTCGATGCAGGCTCGGTGTAGCAGGGTCTCACCCATGTCATTGCGCCGGTTCCACTGTACGGATAGCAGCCCGGGCCCAGGCAGAGGTGTGAGGGGTTGGTGGTGCTGCTGGGCCCGAGGTGGGGTAGGGAGCACCATCTCACCTTGTTCACCTTCCGCCGGCCCAGGCAGCCCTGACGCTCCTCATCCTCCTCTGCCTCCCGGGATGGGTCATCAGCATCATCCTCTGGAACAGAGCCAGCCCAGCTTTGAGCCTGTGGAAGGCCAGCAGAGAAGCCCATCCAGACTCCCTAACTGCTAAGGAGAAAAATGAACTTTGGGGACAGTGGGCTTCAGGGCTCCTTAGCCAGGTGAGGTCAAAGCTGACTGTCTTTCCCCAGCCCTCCCTGACAACCCACTTCCACCCACGGCACCCACCCCGGCCTCTCTGCACCACCCAAGCCTGCCTCTCTCTGTCCAGCCTGTGCTGGCCTCTTACCCCTGCACCCAAGGAGCACAGTAGGTGACCAGTCTCCATCCCCACTTGCCCACCTCTCTTCTGGGACGCACTCTTATGAAGATAAATCACCCCTTAGGCCAGTGCCCTGCATGCACCTGGATTCCCAGCATCCTCCCCTGCATCTGGTGATTCTTGCTAGACTCCCTTTCACCAAGTCCTCTCTTCCTGACTGGCTGCCTCTAGCTCCTTTCTATACCCTTACAACCCTTATACCCTTCTCCTTCACTGGCTTTTCTCTCCCCAGACAGCGTATTGCTAAGTCACTACTTTACCCAGGGTGGGCCTGTGATTCTCCTGGCTCAGACTCCCAGACTGCTGAGATTATAGGCATGTGCCACCACACCCAGCTCACTGGCCTCTCTTGCTATGCCTGCCTGCAGAGTGGCATTCCCTGAAGTTCCAGTCCTTGGTCCTCTCTTCCCACACCACGTACACACCAGTGACACCCAAACTGACCTCTTCTACAAAGTATAGCCCCAGCTTCTTTTTTTTGTTTGTTTGTTTTTGAGACAGGGTCTCACTATGCAGTTCAGGCCAACCTTGAGCTCACTTTGTAGCCCAGGCTGCTCTGAAACTTGCAACGATCCTCCTGCCTCAGCCTCCCAGGTGCTGGGATTACAGGCATGCGCCACCACACCCGGCGAGCCCCAGCTTCTTCTGGCTGCTAGGCCACTTGCCTTGAGATTGTGGAAGTCCATTAAATTCATAACTGGAGGCAGGGTCTTTCCAGAGACTCATACCCCAAATCTTTTTGAGTCTTTTTTGAGACAGGGTCTCACTATGCAGTTCAGGCTGGCCTCAAACAACGATCCTCCTGCCTCAGCCTCCCGAGTGCTGGGATTACAGGCATGCTCTCTCATACCCCAAATCTTGTGGACAGGCTTCCTACCACCTGCTGCTCAGGTGGAAACCAGTCTACATCTGCATACCTCTCAAACTGCTCTCAGCCCCCACAATCTGCCTCTCCTGCTCTGTCCCCACAATCTAAGCTCTCTGTTCCAGTCAGTGTCTCGTATTCACCCTCTGCACAGCTGGCTGAGATGGCCTTTTTTTTTTTTTAAATCTGTTTTTATTTTTTATTTTTATTTTTATTTTTTGGTTTTTTTCTCCAATACCAGGAACCGAACTCACGACCTTGCGCTTGCCAGGCAGGCACTTTGCCGCTGAGCTAAATCCCCAACCCCAAATCTGTTTTATTTTTGCTTTTTCTTTTTGTTTTGTTTTGGTTTTGGTTTTTTTGGTACTGGGAACTGAACACATGACCTCACACTTGCCAGGAGGCAGGCACTGTGCCGCTGAGCTATATTCCCTGAGCTGGCCTCTTGAGTGTGTGTACTCTGGCCCAGGACAGCAAGGCCCTCTGTGACATACTCTTGTCTCGTTTGCCCTGGGCATTAGACACATGCCTCTACTGAGACCATCTCCTGGGCTCTGGTCCCATGTAGCCTTCTCTGGCTGATGCCTACTCAACCTGGCCACTGGGCTTCCCCAGGCTCCCCGCATGCTGTCAGCCTCCTTCATCCCCTGCCACAGAAGGACTTGTTGCCCTGTCTGCCTGTGACTATTTCCCCACCACAAGTTCTCAGCAGGTTCTGTGAGGACCTAGAACCAACTCTCAGCATGCTAGCACAAGGCCTAGCTCAGGCCAGAGGAATAACACTGGGTGTAGTCCCCACAGCAATCAGGGCAGCACTCAGCACTCACCACTCTCTGAGAGTTCCAGCTCGATGGTCTCCAGGGCCTCGATGGTCCCTTCCTCCACCTCTTCCTCCTCCTCCTCCTCTTCCTCCTCTTCCTTGGCCATACTTAGCTCCTGAAGTTTGGTTTCAGTGCCAGGAGCATCTTGGGGCTGCAGCCTCAACTGCACGGTGTAGAGGTGCTGTAAGACCTGCCTCTGAGGAGCAGAGGGGGGATGTCCTGCTCAGGGATGGGGGCACGGGCATGGAGGGAGATGTGAGTGTGGAATAAGGGGGACAAGCAAGCTACAAGGATGCTGGGCTTGTTGGGGACCCAGTGTGGGTAGGACCAGCTCTTGTACCTCAAGCTGGGGCCGCTGCACCTGCTGGGCACAGTTGAGAGCCTTCTGGAAGCACAGTGCCAACAACTCATATGCATCACCAGCCTCCTCACGGGATAGTGCGATGTTGAGCCAGGTCTTGGCTTCCTGGAGCAGAGCAGAAGGGTGAGGTTGGGGGTTGCTGCCCACCACAACCACCGGCCTCAGTCATACGCTGGCTTGTCCAGCTGCCCACATGGAACAGAAACATGGGCCTTGATCCTGCCCTATCTCCTTGGAAGGAAGTGCCTGCCCAGTGGTGGTATCCAACCATGCCTCCTGGCTGGACAGCAATGGCCCCACAGCAAAGTCATGGGGACAAACCTGTTGGGAGGATGGGCAAGGGGGGATATTTACCTCCAGGGCATTGCCTTTGCGCAGCCTCAGTTCCTCTTCGTAGTGGTGCACAGCCTGGCGATGGTCCTTCATGTCTCCCAGCGTGGTGGCCAGGGACACGTGGATGATGGCCAGCTCAAGGTCTGGTCTGTTCAGCCGCTCAGCAAAGTGCAGCTGAGGAAACCAGTATGGTGAGGTCCACACCCACTCAGCACCTCGCCAGCCCTTAACTCCCACTCTAGCCAGGAGCCACAAACCTGCTTCTGATAAGCCTCAGCTGCCTTGGGGAAGTCGCCTGCTTTGGAAAACAGGTCTCCCAGCTGCTCACAGATGGCCATGGCGCCCTGAGGGTCACTGCCCTCAGCTTCCTCCAGCTGTTGCTGCAACTGGACCACTGCCAGCACTGCTGGAAAGAGTCTTGTGGGAGGGGCAGCATGGCACAGCGCCCTGACCCAGCTTCACCCTTACCACTCAGTTCCCTCTGGCAGGTCATTTAACCCCACCATGTCTCCCGCTGGCCGGTAGTAAACCAGAACAGTAGGAGAATCTGCATGGAGCACCTTATGGATTAAAACAAACATGCACAACAGCCTGGAATGGAGGCTGGCTTGCAGCACAGGCCAACCACTGTTAACTACCTCTGTCACTGTGGTTAGTGTCTGAGCCACACGCATGCCACCTGCTCTCCCATCCCAGTAGAACAGTGGGGTGAGTATGGTCTCCAACTTGTCAATAAAGATGCTGCCTCATGAGTACAGACCAGGCCAGGGTCCCCCTCACATTTCAGTGCCCCTTGTTAGGCTCAACTAAAAGCAAGAATCTCCTCTGCATAGGGACCTGCCCCTCTTGCTTCAAGAGGCCCCTGCTAAAGTTGCTGCTTCCCCAAGGACCTGTGCTTGGGCCTCCTCTGCTGAGGGAGCAGAGCCCTTCCCACCCTTTCAGGCTATTCAGCCCTCAGCCTTCTGTCCAGCCTCACCATACTTGAGGCTCTGGCAGACTGCTGCCCTCTGTGCAGGCTTCTGGGAACCCAGCTTATAGGCCTTCTTCAGAGCTCGTTTGGCAGCCAAAAAATCTCCCAGATCTTGGAGGACCTGGGGAGCAAAGAAAGATGAGCCTGCACACTCCCCAAGGCCCACGCCCACCCAGGTAATACACCTAGAGTTGGTGAGACTACCTGTGAGACTACCACACAGCACTCGCTCTCCATGAACCGCTTCTTCATGGCACGAGCGCACTCCCGGGCCCCCTCCAGGCAGCGCATGGCCTGAGAATGCTGCCCAGCACGCCAGTGGATAGCACCGAGGTTGTAGCGGGCACGATACAGATCCTCATAGAGGTGGTTATGCCTGCAAGGGGTGAAGATAACAGGTGCTAAGAATGCCCAGGACCCTCTAGCTTTGGAAGAGTGGACAGAAAGCACTCAAGCATTTAAGATGGCACTGAGGTGGAGGGAACATCCAGCCAGTTACAGGTACCAATGTCATGCAGACCCCAACCCTGCCTGCTACAGTCTTGGGGCCCAACTCTGCTTGTCCCTAGCTTCTACTGCACATGTGAGAGGCCTCTCTGTTCATGGAAAATCAAGAGCCCAGCCGGGATGCTCTCTCAGGGGGATGCTGGGAGCTACCCTCATGACAAAGCTACCCTTCGACTCACGACGAAGCTCACACTCCCTCCTGGGGTGGGGCTGGGGACTCACTCAGCAAGAAAGATGCTCTTCTTGAAGTAGGCATTGCACAAGGCCATCTGCTGCAGGCTCTCAAAGGTAAGACCCAGGTTGAGGTACAGCCGGGTCCTCATCTCACTCAGCTCTCGCTGGGTCAGTGTCCCTGGAAGATGCCCCCGGCCCCACAACCTTCAGCAGATCCTCCCCAGATGGGAGTTTCCAGCTTTGCCCCCACCCTTCCTTCTGCCTCTCAAGGTGAGAGGCACGGGGCTTGCTACAGACTGTGTGAAGAGCACAGAGAGTAGGTGCCTGTCAGATTGGAGTGGATGGCAGCATATGACTTTAAAGAGGGAGGGGCCTGAGAGGCAAAAGGCAGAGAGGCTGGGGCAAGGCCACCCACCCTCTAGCTTCTCATCCACAATAGCCAAGCTCTTCTCAAAGGCAGCCTGGGCCTGCAGCAAGGCCTCCCTCGACTGGCAATGGTCATAGATATCCAGGTGAGTGCGGCCAATGGTGGCCCAGGCTCTCTGCCGCTCCGTGTGGTTGGACAGGGAGCCAGCCAGTTCCAGATAGCGGTGCTGGTGCTGGTGTGGAGAAGAAAAGCCACTGAACTGACCCCACCTCAAACAAACCCACAAGTTCTGACCCCAGGGGAAGCTACTCTTTCCCAGGAGAGCTCCCTGTTACCCCAAAGCCCCACAGAACTGGTCACATATACCACCTCTGCTCTGCACCAAGGGCTGTCTGTGGTGATAGCAGCTCCATGCTGCAACTAGCTAACGTCCTTTGTCACAAGAGAAGACCGGAGGGGCTGGGGATTTAGCTCAGTGGCACAGTGCCTGCCTGGCAAGGGCAAGGTCGTGAATTCGATTCCCGGTACGGAAAAAAAAAAAAAAAGAGAGAGAAGACCGGGAGTCGCTGGTATGCTGCCCATGGTCCCCAGCAGCAATGGGTCCCCTCGATTCTCCCAATACAGAGATCAAGTAATAGTTCCCCTAATGGCTCTTGCCACCTCCCTCCCCTCCAGGGAGGCCGCAGTGCCTTACCTGCAGGGCCGCAGAGTAGTCCTGCATCTCGGCCAGTCTCTCTCCAATCTTGCGGTGGGCCACCGCGCAGCCCAAGGGGTCCTGGGCGCCCTCCAGCAGCCGTAACTCTTGCCGGTGTTCCTCCAGGGCCTCCGCGTAGCGGCCTGGAGAGGGGCACGGCGCCGTCATCGGCCGGGCATCCCGGAAGGGTAGGGTCCCCACCGCACCAGGCGCCTGCGTGCGCTCACCATGGCCGGCCAGCAGTTCCCCCAGCTGGTGGCAGAAGGCCGCCTCCTCCCGCGGCTGCCCGCTCCTCTGCGCTCTGGCCTTGGCCTTGCTCAGCTCTGCCGGGAGGAAGGACAGTGGGGGGCTCAGCCGAGGTCCACTCCCCACCCCAAGCCAGGCACCCGCGCCCCGAGGGACTCACGACGAAGCTCACGATCCAAGATCATGATCGCGCCGAAGCCGCGGTCGCAGAATCCGGACTTCCCGCGCTCGGCGCCGAGGACCCGCCCAGATCCCGCCTCTCCCAGCCTCCGTGTTGGCCACGCCCAGATCCCTGCGCCTGCTCCGTCCTGCCCGAAGGCATAGAAGCCGAGGCCCCGCCCTCTCACAGGGGTTGGGTCTTAGCGGGTGCCGGGGTGCGTAATGCCAGACCCCAGGTCTCAGTCACGGGTGTCAGTCACCCTCGAGGCCTGGGCGCAGAGAGGGTAGCTTCTGGTGCAGCACCCCCGTGATGGGGTCTTGTGGGTCATAGTCTGCTGCAGCCACTGGCTTGGGCACCCACCTGGTTGTCTACAAGTCCACCTGCCCTTTTGTTAAAGGCATTTTGTTTTATTTTTGTCTTTTTGAGACAGGGTCTCCCTATGCAGTTCAGGCTGGCCTTGAGCTCATTTTGTAGCCCAGGCTGGCCTCAAACTCACTGCAATCCTCCTGCCTCAGCCTCCCCAGTGCTGGTATTACAGGCATGCGCCACCACGCCCAGCAAATAACTGATAAACAGACTTTTTTGTGTGTGTGCCGGGAATCGAACTCAGGACCTTGAGCTTACCAGGCAGGCGCTGTGCCGCGGAGCTATCTTCCCGGCCCTGTTAAAGTCATTTTGTAACGCTGTCTCCACTTCCCCTTCTGATTAAAGCACGCACCACTTACACTTGCAATTTTTTGAAGATACTTAATACTGTGCTGAGGAAATAAAGTGATTTGTAGCCAGACATGGTGGCCCACGGTTGTGAGCCCAGCAGCACTCCAGAGGCCAAGGAAACAGAATTGCAAATTCAAGGCCAGCCTGAATTACATAGGGAGATCCTGTCTCAAAAAAAAAAAAAACAAAAATACAAAAAAACAAAGTGATTTGTAGTAAAATACACTTGCAATTTGGGCACGTGAACTTAATTGAGGAATGAATGCTACTGAGAACGGCCTGCTTGAGGTGGACACAGCCAATCACATTCAGAGATTCAAACCCCAGCCATATTGGTGGGGCAGGGGTTGGGACGCCGGGGGCAATGTTTTCCAAACTGAGTAAAGTAGTTTCTCATTCTGTGTGCTGGCTATGGTACTGGAAGATCCAGTGAAGGCACATTAAAACTGCAAGGCTGCTTTGTGTTGAGAGGTAAGAAAGAGTCTAATTTGAGTTTATTTTCACTCAGATTTCTCAGTTGCACCAGGGACTTACAATTGTCTGGCATCCCTGGGATACTCCACCACTCTTACCTTGAGGCTAAATACATGCTGTGTCTTGGGGCTGTCACCCCTGGCTATGCAGCAAGCCTAGCACTGGGCACCTGGTACTCCTGTGTACTGAAGGACCCAGAGGAGGATGGGTTAAAAGTCCTATGGAGGACCCCAGAGGAGTAGAAGATGAAGAGGTTTATTTTCTATTGTGATCAAAACAGACTCAATGGTGGGCTGCGCATGGTGGCGCATGCCCATAATCCCAGCACTCAGGAGGCTGAGGCAGGAGGATTGCAGTGAGTTTGAGGCCAGCCTGGGCTACAAAATGAGTTCAAGGCCAGCCTGAACTGCATAGTGCAACCCTGTCTCAAAAAGACAAAAACAAATCAAAACAAAACAGACCCAATGGGGTAAAAGTCCCAGCCAGTGGATGGACAGCGAGGCCTAATGAGGAGATGTAGAAGGCAGGTGGTTCCAGGAAGGGTTCCAGGGACAAGTTGATGTAGCCAAGGAATGGCCTCCTGGTGCGGGCTGGGGCTGGGCAGATGTGAGACTGCAGCAGTACAGTGAGGTAAGCCTGTGCAGCTGCACACGAGGAGAATGAAATGCACTTAGCCCTCCTTTTGAGGGGTGAGGTGTTCTGACAGACCCTCAGCTGGGCCTGGCAGTACTGGGGCTGAGATTTGGAGGCCGGTACCACCAACTCTTTCCCCATCCAGAGTGTGGCTCTGAAACCAAAGCAGCTTTGTGGGGCACAGTGAGAAGAGGAGCAAGGCACAGAAGCACAGGCTGGCTCAAACAGTCTGGGAACCGTGGCTCAGAAGACAGAAGCTTCCCCCAGAGCTGCTGGGAAGACCGTGAACTGCCTCCACTCCTGGGTCAGGTTTCACAGGACAGAGCCCAGTAGGCCCACCCACGAGGCTGTCTTCTAGTAAGGAAACACAGACAAAACACGGTTTGGAATATTTTTTTTAAACTACAGTTACATACAGAAAATATCCAAAGAAAACGCAGACCACAAAAGTGACATGACAGTCATTTCCAACAGCCATAAAAACACTTCTTGCTCTGCTCTTTAAAAAATTATTTTTATTATTTTTGTAAATGTCTCACTTTGGGCAAACTGAGGGATACGGTGCTCACAGGGATTGGGGGTAAGACCTGTGTGGGAGAAGGGGAAGGCGTTGCTTAGCCTATGACCCCCAGGATACCCCCACATCTGCCCAGGCTAGGCCCCCCATTCGCAGAGATAACAGATGAAGAACCAGGTTGGGACAGCAAGATGACGGAAGGTTCTGGAGACAAACCAGTAGAGGTGGCACCCCCAGTAATAAAGGGCCCACAGTGACAATGCCACAAGGTTTGTGGCACCAGCTCCCAGCATGACTGAGGAACACGCCAGTCTTCTCAGCTGCCTGGTTCCTCTAGGCTGCAAGGCTCAGCTGGTGCATGGGACAGTCACAGGCAGGTCCATGCTGCGATAGCACTGGGATGCCTAATCCCCCGAAAAACCACACCTCTACGAGGCCCTTGCCCGAGCCATGCCTTGGGCTGGCTCCTTCTATTCCTTGCCCCACACACTGGGCTGGCATTCAGGCACTAAAGAGGCCACAGGACTGCCAACTAGGCCTCTGTCCCCCTCATGGCCTCCTAGTCCCCGCAGCCTTTGCCAGTCCAGTTCCCCACCTTGTCCCAGTTTGGCTGTGCCTGTGAGGAACAAGCCTCCCACCCTGATCTGTACTAGGAGTTCACAGTGTCTCATACACACCCAAATACAGGTGGATAAGCCAAGCCGGCCATGCCTCCCATCTTAGAATTGATGGGACTTTCCAGAAGGCCTCTGCCTGTCCTCCTGAGGTCCTCTGTGTGCCTGCTAAGCAGACATGGGGTGTTACCTGGCTGAACTTGAGCGGCCACAGACTCCACAGATTGCTGGGACCTGGGCTGGGTCTTTGCAAAGACCAGAAAAGCAAACGGGCCTTCCCAATCCCTCCACCCCTGGCTCATTAGCATTACAGGAGAGAAGGCTCCCCAAGGGACACTTCAGCAGGTCCTCGCCCTGAGCTGAGAACAGGAACCCAAACAGGGTTCTCAGAAATAGCTCTGAGAGGCTTTTCCCTGTGAGGAGGGCAGGAGAACTGATTCAGGCGGACAAGCTGGCCAGTGTTGGCCACACTCAGAAAAATGGCTAGAGCTTACACCCTATTCTATAGTCCCTTCCCACTATTTCTCAGCCACCTGACCTTGAAAAGCAGGGTGGGAGGAGCCCCAGGAGGGTCAATGGCCTAAGCTCTGTACCCAGCCAGGACTACCTGCCCCTCAGGCTCTCAGGGCAGAGTAGTGGGGACTCAGGCCAAGGCAGCCTGCAAGGGCCAGGTGGTGGCTGCTCTGAGGCATGTGGCAGACTTTGCCAGGGCAGAGGAAACCAGTTCTTTGGTATTAAAGCAACAAAAAACTATCACAGACGAGCCCATCTCCTAATTAAGTACCACCCTTCCTCGTACCTCTGAGGGTCCCAGGGAAGAACAGACCAGAACCCATCTCCTCCATGCAGGGCTGCTTGCCACCCTCTGAGCCCCAAGAACCATCGCTCAGAACATCAGAGGACTGCAAGTCAAGGTAGGGTGGGCCCACCTTTCAGTCAGGAAACCACACTGTGGCCAGCAGTCTCTGACAGCAGACCTTGCACTACCAAGCTGGCATAGCCTGTGACTGCTCCTCTATATCCTCAGGATACTGTACCCTCCAGGCTGAGTAGAGTGAATGGATTCTCTCTCATTGAAATTGCATCAATTATAGAAGAGCCTGTGAAGAGTTTAATTTTTTTTCCTGGGAAGAGAATTTCACCCTGCATTCCGAAAACATTTTGCTGAGCCCTGGTGGCAGAGACCTGTCTCCCTGGGAGCGGCTGGGTGGCTGGGTGAGCCTCAACCCTTCCTGGCTCTCTCTGCCTAGGCCTGTCCTAAGAACCTTGTGACAGGCTGAAGGGGAGGCAATGTCTCCAAGTCTCTCCTGGGGGGCATGCACGGGTGCAGTAACAGAGACATGGTGGCCCCTGACCCCCAGGCCAAAACAAAGCTCCCACGGCGTCCATTCACAGCCATGCCTTCCCCTCCAACAAAACATCAAGTAGGAAACAAGGCTGCCTTTTTAATCACAATCAAATATGCCGTCTGCAGTCAACGAGGGCCCCTGAGCCCAGCCAGGAACCAGGGCAAGAAGTGCGACCAAGCTGAGGATGCGATTGGAAGGGGCCGCAGGCTTCTCACCCTCCATGCTGCTGGTCCTGAGCCTGAGGAGCCCAGAGCACGGTCTCCTCTGAGGTCAGCCCAGCCTCCAGCTGCCCTGGAGAGGGGGTGGCAGGGGTGAGGGGGGAGCTGGAGGTGGGGACTGCATCACACACACATGCAGACTTTCCCAGTGTTTGATTTTGCTTGTTCTCCTCCTTCGCTAAAATGATCAGATAGTTGTGTGAAGCCACTGCCAAGCCAGGGGTGAAGAGGAAAGTGGTGCCAGGCCACGGCCCTCTGCTCCTCAGGAGTCTTGGGTCCGTCCTACTTCTGTATCTGGAATAGGAAGAGCCGCAGGTTGATGTTCTTGGCAGCCAGCAGCTTGTTGCACTCCACAGAGTCGATGATGGGCAGGGGCACATAGTCCGTCTCATTGCTCTCATTGGTGAAGACGAAGTGGTAGATAACGGGACTGATCCTCACGTCATCGTATGGGCCCTTGAGCAGCAGGAAGGAGCATTCCAGGGGCGCTGTGACTTTACTCTTGAGGAGGAGCTGGAAGGAAAGTGTACGCTTGCACGACAGGTTGGGGTTGCGCTCTGAGTCATTCACACGAGCCTTCAGGACCCATGTCTGGTTCAGCACTGTGAACCGTGGTGTCTCATAGTAGAGGCGTGTGATAAAGTCGTCTGTGCGGTATGGCCGGAACTGGACTTCTGTGGAGACAAACAGGGCCAGAAACAGCCACCAGTTAGTGTGCGGTAGGGCTGGGTGGCAGCGCCTTCCCCGACCAGGCCGAGGAGAGGCTCAGCCCAGGAGGAAGGCAACTTACCCAGACACAGCAAGCTCTACTTGTCACAAGGCAAGTCAAACACGATTATGGCAAACGGAGGCGCACAAGCTTTGGGGGAACAACTACAAACAGAATTAACACCAATTAGCTGGAGAGTCCAGAGGCTGTGGGAGGTAAGACCATGTCCCAGGTGTGGCCAACCTATAGGGCCACCCTCCTCGCCCTCAGCCCTGTGTCCTCGCAGGGGCAGGGTAAGCAGACACACAGACAGGATGCAGTTCTGAGAACAAGTGCACTTTATTGGTTCTGATACAGAGCTGCCAGAAAAGCTGGTGATGGGCAAGTGGTACCCGGTCCTGCCCGAGGGGACTGTCAGGTCCTTGGGCGTTGGGCTGTGACGCGGGCTCTGCCTGGCCATCGGTGGGGCCATCAGTCAGCAGGCAGACCTGCTTTTGTAGTCCTCTTGCGAGCCCATAGCCTGTGGCTGGCAAGTCTCTCTGTGGAGGCGCAGGCTTGAGGGCAGCCAGTTCGTCCTGCATGGACAGGGTGTCCTACCCGTCCACTGATGGAACCACATGCCCCAGCCTACCCAGACCCCATGGGGCCACCAGGATCAGCTGAGGCTGCTCTAAACAGGGCCATGACTTTCTGTTGCGGCAGCCCTCAGGCCCTTGGCCTCCTGGGCCTGGTGGGCCCATTTAGCTAGGCCCAGGCTGGGCAGCACAGCATGACTGGCTGCCACATTCGCCCTCGGTGCTCTGGGCTGGCTTCCTGGTGTGCCTGAACAACAGAGGGATGGAGTCTCCCTGAGTGGGCCCAGTGTCAGTAGGTGCTTCTTGCTGTCCTCTGGACCAGGCTGTGGCCTGGCTCCTGTTACTCAACAAGTTCAAAGGCATCAGCAGTGGCCTGGGAGCACAGATATTCGGTGGGCCTAGGCCCAGTCCAGTCTGCCCGTCTGTGGGCCTTCACTCCCAGTTCTACAGTCTGAGCTGGGCACCCTCAGCCCTGTTACTGAACAGCTTCATGTCACTTTAGTGACCATTTGCAGGCAGGATCTGATTTGACCGAGTGTTCTTCTTGTTCTAGGCTCCGAGGGTCAGGTCTGAGCTTCTAGGCTTCCCCAAGACACAACCCACCTTCCAGTTAGACCCCAACCATACCAAAGCTGTCAGGCCCCATACATTTTGCTGGGGTTGTATGCCAAATAGGGAGGTCCGGAGGGAGGGGCTGCTGTAAGAGCCACGAGCTGCACCCTGGGGCCCTGTGAGCCCCTCCCTCTGCTTAGTCTCCAATCTGTCTTCTTTCCTGAGGCATCCTCCTGTCCACCTGGAGCCTCTCCAGATCCTGGCCACTTGGCGCAGCCTGTGCCCATGACCAGAGCCTGCCCAGCACTCCCCTCCAGCCCACCTGTGCAGCATGCAGCAGGTGGTGAGGCACCTCACCTGTGTAGCCGATTTTCTCAAAGCTGAGCAGGCTAAAGATACTGTTGTAGAGCTGCATTTCCTTGCGGTGGCTCTGGTCCATCTCATCTAGTATCTCCATCAGCTCGTTGCCCGTCTTGGTTGGATGGGCACACGCAGCCTCGTGCACTGTCAGCTCATGGAAGGGGCCATGCCATGGACAGCCGATGCGCTTGTACTTGCACTGAGTCACCCTGAGAGGAAGTGAGCACAGCAGTCACACCTGAGTCCAAGTGGCTGTGTCCAATTGTTCTCCAGAGGCAGTTTCTGCTAGCCACAAACCTCTCCCTGTAGGACACATTTTGCCCTGAGCTTAGCCACCATGGCAGGTTCAGAGAGCACATGTGCATACATGTGTGTGAAAGAGAGGGAAGAGGTAGACAGAGAGGAAAGAAAAGAAGAAGGGAAAAAGGGATGGGGAGGAAGAAGGACCGAGAGAGCTCTGGACCAGCGCGCCTCCTGCACTCACTGCTATGGTGTCTCTCCTCAGCTTGGCATTAAGTGCCTACCTGATCACGGACCTAGACCCCTCTCATTCCAGGAGAGGCTTAGTGCTAGGGGCCTGCCAGCCGAGTGGCCATGTCCACTTCCAGGGACTGGACTGCAGAGCAGCCTCACACCAAGCTCCCAGACCTCCTAAGATGGCTACACTGTCATGGGCCTCCAAGGACTACTCACAGAGAATTCTGCAGGCCAGTGTCAACATGTCCAGATAGCAACTAGGTAGAGCCTCCATGCCATGCTCTGTGGAGCCCACACTTCCCCTCTCCTGGGGTCTACAGGACTGTTGTCGGGCTGGACCAGCCAGATCACCCTGTATGGGGCTGTGCCTGCACCAGGGTCTCCACCTGTGTGATCATGCCCCCAGCCCCAGCAGTCACCTGTCCTGGCATTCCTCTTTTTGGTGCCTCTCCAGGAGGGAGCGGGGAAACTGGCGTAGGCAAAAGCCACACTCTGAGGGCAGCTCGCTCACGGCTTTCTCCACGGCCAGGTTCCGGCAGCAGAGGCTCTTACTGATCTCACAACGACAGTTGGGGCACGTGGCCTGCTCCTCCTTCAGCCGGGCATCTGCTAGTAGGTGGATAAAACAGCCAGCGCACATCAAGTGACCATTAGTACACTGCGAAGAAGGAAAGGGAAATGAAGCTCACAGACCTGTAGGATGGTGCACACACACGTGCCCGCCTGTGTGCACTAGCTCCAGCCAGGCCAGGCCAGCTGTCCCAAGGGACTCTAGCTGGTGAGGAGAGGAGCACATGTAGTCCCCAAGTTGTGCTGGTGTCTAGCAAAACCTGAGAGCTGTTCAAGGGGACATGGCAAGACACTGCCAGCTTAGGCTCTGTGGAAAAGTGGGGTCTCATCAGATCCTTGGGGTCTCGGCTCTTCCCTGATCCAGGCCCAACTGGTAGTGATTAATTTGACTCTACCAGGGACTGGAAACTGGCATTTTCCTGTTCTACAAGAACACCTGGCTCTTGACCTGGCATGGCAGGGCACTCAGCCAGCAGCTGCCAATGGGGGAGGGGACGCTGCTTCCCCACACTGAAGCAGGCACTCTTTCCTTAGCTTTTGGAAAGCCTGCTCATGAAGGGGATAAGGGGATAGGGCCTTAGCAGACATCAACACTGGCCCTTCAACCCTAGCCTTGCTGGTGAGCACAGGTGACAGCTGCCAGCCACCACCACCCAGGGAGAGTGGCCACCTGCCAGAGCCATTCCCAGACCTAACTGCAGGCAGGAGGCGATGTTGGCCCAGGACGAAGGAAGGTGGGAATGGGGCTGCAAGTGAAACAGGGCGCTCAGCTGGGCGGATCTAAATGGGTTAGCAGTGGGCAGGTCTCTCCTTGGGGGTCCTTCCACACATGGAAGGTGGGCTGCCAGAATCATTCCTATCTTGGATCTCAATATACATCGCCTAAGCATCACTTGGTGCCATCAAGAGACACAGAGCGGGCTGTGGCCTTGGCCCTCAAGGGGCTCATAGTACAAGAGAGGCCTAGATACTAGGCCCACTATGCTACAACCTCTCTGCAGCATTCACAGGGAAGTACACCATCCTAAGACCAATGCCTGGTTGTGTTGCGGGCCATGGCTGCACATGTGGGGTCCTTGGTAAACCTCAGCTGCCATCGTATTACTTCACCAGGCTCTCTCAGTCCCCAGGGGCCACGTCTGGAGCTGTGAGTGTTAGAACCTGCATGCTAAGGACTTGGCAATAGAGGTCTTCCACAGACTCCTGCTCAGCATGAATGCCATATATTATCTGCATTCAAATCTCAAGTACTAAGTTAGGTTAAAAATTAAAATGAGAGAATGACCTGCCTTGGTTGGGCCTGGATAAACAGGGCCTGGCAAGGGCAAGTCAGCATCAGGTACTAATGTATGGGCTGGCTGAAGTGGTACATGAGGCACATCCTGGGTGGAAAAACCCGTCTGCCCTATCACCAGGGGTGATAGAACGGACTGGGAATTAGGGGTAGGTAAGATGTGGGAAACATGCCAGGTGTGGTGGCACATGCCTGTAATCCCAGCAATCAGGAGTTTTAGGCAGGAGGACTGCTGTAAGTTTGAAGCCAGCCTGAACTACATAACAGGACTCTGTCTCCAAGAAAAAAAAAAAAAAAAGATGTAGGTGACATAGACCAAGGCCTAGGTCACAGGCCCTTTCATAACCCTCGCCTGCCTGTGGACTGCTTGAACCAAGGACTGCTGCTGCTTTTAGAAGGAAAGGAAAAATACAGCACAGCAGTGAAGTAGTAAATGGCCATATATTCCAGGGATAAAACCTCTGGGGTGTCTCCTCAGAAGTGATGACCAGTCACACAGCATATGTAGCAGTGCCCAGTGAGGAAGCCCAGTAGGACACCAGCACTGAGACCTGCTCAAGACCTGGTATTCCTACACATGTGGACAGCTCTAGGCACCTCTTAGTCAGAGGTTACCTGGGCCTTATCCAGGTCCTGGGTCCATTTCCACAAAGTTGCCTCTAGGGTCCACCAGCCTGAGCAGAGGGCAATCACATTTCTGGTTGCAGCCTGGCCCTTCTAGAGCTTCTAAGCAGAGCTGAGGATACAGGCCCTATCTCCAGGGCACTAGCCCTCTCCTCCTGGCTCTAAATGGCTGAAGCAGACTCAGGAAGGAGTTCGTGGGCGCTTCAGAGGGGGCATTGAAGCTGACAAATATATCATCACTTTTACTTCCCAGTACCAGCCTAACTACCCATCTGGGAAAGTCACCCCAAGCCTGGGCTGGTCCAGCCAAAGGACTATACACAGCCCCACACCAGCTGTTCAAGGGATGCTCTTCAGGTAAGTTCCAGATCAACATCCAGCCCAATCCATCTACCCACAGCAGGGTGGTCACCATGCTCCAGAACCTTCTCCCCTCAGGCTCCCCAGCAAGACCGGACTTCCCATGCAGGACTGGTCAAAGAGTGGCCACACACTCAGCCTCAGCTGTGGCTGGGCCAGACTGTATCTGCTCCAACTTGTACCCACTGTTCAGTAAGAAGCTAGGTGCCAGTAATTCCACAAGTGCTAAACATACTGCCCACTCACTAGATCCAGGCCCACAAGAACTCAGATGCTTCCAGAAACAGCCTCTGCAGTGCCAGGGTCAGGATGCCCTACGATTAGATTGGAAGATGCTGGACTCACAATCCAGGACTGCTGGATTGCTTTTAGAAGGAAAGGAAGAATACAGCACAGTAAGTAGTAAATGGCCATGTATTCCAGGGATAAAACCTCTGGGTGCCCCCTCAGAAGTGATGACCAACGAGGAAGCCCAGTAGGACACTAGCACTGACCCCCTCCAGATTGACAAGGTGGAAGCCACAGGCCCTCCTAGGATGGGTGTTGGCTTGCAGCCATAGTGTGAGACTCAGACCTCAGCCCACAGGTCACTAGCAGCATGACTCTGGGCTCATCACCTTCTGCTAAGGGCCTAAATCTCCGCATGTGCATATGGTGATGAGTATGATGTGAGAGAGACAATACATCTGGCAGCAAGGCTCAGCACCTACCATAGCAACCTCAGAACAAACACCTCCCATGCCCTCCATAGTCAAACCCCTGGAGATCCCATTCCCCGGGGGAGCTGAGACCCTAGGCCCCTTGGCACATGCTAAATACATACAAGTGGTCAAAAAATAGCCACTTCTACCTGTACCCCCAGAGTGGCACCCAGTCTCTCCCTCTACCCAGGTGCAAGCAGATTACATGTGACTCAGCCTATGCATACCCAGAGGGTCCATCTGAGTTGGCTTTTCCCCTGGTTTCAAGATTTTGTGTGTGTGTGTGTGGGGGGGTACTGGGAATCGAACTCAGGACCTTTCGCTTGCTAGGCAGGTGCTTGTGCCACTGAGCTATATCCCCTTCCCTTGGTTTAAGGAAGCCAACTGCACTGGCCAGACTCAAGTGAGTCTTAGGAAGCAGGCCCCCATGACTTGACTTCTAGTAGGTTACAGGCTCTCTGTGGTCAGCTAACCTTTTAGTACCTCTCTCAAGCCTGAACCACATGGTCCTCTCAAATTCGGGAGGCCCACTCATTCCACTATAGGACAGATGGCACCCAGGCCCATAAGAACAGCTCATTCTCCTGTCCTACTGGGCTTCCTCATTGGTCATCACCCTCAGGCCTTTGACAGAGGTCACCACTCCCAAAATGCAGCCAAGAGGCTTCCCCTTGGGCATTAACTGTAAAGTACTGCTCAGCTAGCTGGCCTCCCAAGTACTCTGTGATGTCCAGCATGTAGGCAAGGTTGTGCCAGGCTCACTGGCATACCCCATATGCTCAACCTAGTTTTCTTAACCTCCTTAGTCAAGCACTGGTCTGAGCAGAAGCAGCTTCTTGTCCAAGGCCACACAGCCCCTAAGGGAGAAATCTGGCCTTGCGACTTCCATCCAGGTTGGATCTGAAGTTCAGCGTTAGCCTGGTTGACCTTTCCTCCTGATGTCAGGACACCAGTGGGGCCCAGAAAGCCTAGGATGTGACTCTCACTCAGAAATAAATGCTGCCTAGATCCAAAAGTAACTCAAAATGGCAAGCTACCACCACAAAAGCACAACCTAGCCAGACTCCAGAAATCCTCCTTGCTCGTCTTGCATTTCAGACTCCTAAGTAGACCTATTTCCAAAGCTCTTTCCTGCCTTAACGAGTGAATCGGTGGTGCCCGAGGTTCCCAGGACATGGAGGTAGTCTTCTAGGACACCATGTGCTCTGAGATGGGGGTTTTGGGCAGAGGGAGTAGTCCCTGTTTCCTAGGCCTCTTATCAGTGGAAATGTCAATCAGGTAACCAGTCCTTTGGAACTGAGATCTGGCATAGAGGCAGAAGGCCTTGGGGTAAGATGAAGGTTGGACACAGTAACCATCCCAGAGCACTGAGAGTAGAAGTGACCTATTCAGATGAGGAGATGGGCAGGAGAGGGGAAGGTATCAGTGTGAGGAACATTACCTCAGGCCCAAAAGAAGGGGAGGCAGGGAATGTAGAGCAGATAGCTCAGGTGGAAAGCATGCAGGAGAAATGATGGGACACTGCCACAGGACCCTGGTCAGGGCTGCAGCTAGAGTCACACCACATGCAGGCTAGGCCACATCACCCTCTGCCCCCTGCCCAAGAGCTCATGAGTAGTGGGAACAACAGGTGGTGCCTTCCTCCAGATTCCAGCATCGAGGCTCCGGGCCTTGCTGACATCAGGGGTGGCTCTATCTTATGGAGGACTACACATGATCTCCTGTAAAGGGTTGCGCTGGCAGACTGGGACAGGGAGGTCAGGAATCAGGCTGTGGTTCCAAAACCGTAGTACCACCAATACTGGGTCTTCCCTGGAGATGGGCAAAAATATCCACAGGTCACACTGCCCTCAAGCTGCAGGGCTGGGTTAAGGGCAAGGTGTCTAACCTTCTCAGCAGTGTGGACTTGACAGAAACTATTTGGGTGTCCCTGCCATCCTTTCAGCACTCCCGCCACCCACCTGGGTGCCCGCCCAGCACTTCTGAAGCACCTGCCCAGGACTCAGGAGGGTGAGTGCTTACCTTACCAGGCCAGTTGCCCAGGACACACCTAACACCCACACAGAGAACATCAAAGCGTGCATCTGCTATACCTGCTGCAGGCCTTAA